CAGCCAAGGGATTGCAGAGCTCTGCACCCCACAGCTGGTTTCACTCTGCCTGGGGACCCTAAATGGGTCTAAAGTCACCCCAGAGAGGTGACAAAGAAGGAGCCCCCCCCGTCGATTACAGAAAGATGGCGGTTGATCTGTTTGATCCAGGGGAAGGCCTCCAACCTGACAGGAGAAAGGCTAGCTGCACTCCAGTGACTAGCCCAAGCTACTGGCACCTGAAGTCCAAAATCACCAACTAAGAACAACTGTGAACAGTGTGTTGGAGCTGGGTGAGAATATTGATCTTCTCTTCTCTATTTTGAAACTGATTTCCTGGAAAAGATCCCCAAGAAGAAAAATATCCTCCGAAAGTGAGAAGAAAGAGGATTATAACCCTGCCCTTCCATAGACGGAAGTGGCGATTTAATTTTTATGGGGGACAGAAATACATTGAAATGGACTAATGTAAAGCTATAATTTGAATAAAACTGAAAACTATGGAAATTGTTAAGATTTTCCATTTAAAAGAATATTGCTGAAATTATAATTATTTTCCAACTTTTAAAACGAAAATATTAACAGCTATTGACATCTAGTGGTGGAACAGAGTATATAACTACAGCTACCCTGCCTCAGAAATTGGCAAGACACCCAGAAACAGAGCACAATTTATCCCTTTGATCCTCAGTGACTCTTAGCTAAACAGAGAACAGCTGGGAATAGAGGAAAGAAAATACACTGGGCTATCTATTGCAGAATGAGAAATACAATTGTTATGAAAACTGCTGACCTTGTTGGATTATAAACACTTACTGGGCTGTTATATTTAAATTTAAGAATCATTTGCGGAGAAAGAAAATCTTTGACTTTTTGGCTATTCTTCTAGAGGGGAAATTACTGGATTGTTTTTAAGTGGTTGAACATTTTGGACTGTTTATAAAGATAAGAAACATATAAGACTATAGTGTTTGGAATTCAAGACTGGTTGGTTTGATGAAAATGGAGGTTCATATACAACTAAAAGTGGTAAGAAACCACATGCAATATTCTTTTCTAAAATCCCCAGTCTGGAACAACAGAGATCTGCAGGAGTAATACTTCAAGACAAGACAAATATCTTCCAGGAGAAAATGTATGCTATGTTACAACTAATACAAACGACAACTGCTTCAAATCATAATGAGATTAAAAATAATTTTGATGATATAAATGAGCACATTCTTGACCTAAGCACACAATTAAACAATTCTCAGAAAATGGTGACAAAAAATGAATAAATAAATCAGATAATAGAATAAAAACCAGAGGAAAATGACCCAAAGATGGAGGCCACCAATGAAGAAAATTGCAGCTTAACACAAAGAAAAATCTGCAAGATTTTGCTATAAGATTGAAAATGGAAAAGACATTTTATCTTTCAGGACTTCAAAACAAGTGGAAACAAAGTGGAAGCGTCTTAACGAGTATAAATGAATGAAACTCCCCCTCAAAGGCACCTTACTCAATTTGTCTTTCCCATTCTTAACACCTATAAAAATACAGGAAGAATTATATGGCAAGCTGAACACACTGACTTGGAAAGCTGCTAGGCAAGAGAAGAAGGCGAGAGCCAGACTCAAGAGAGATGATTTGACTTATCAGATGGAGAACTACATGACTAAACACTTGTTTGAATATGGTTAAAAGAATAGTTAAATTTTGGATACGAACTGGTTCTATAGTAAGAGAGAAGTGATTCATAAGTAGTATAATATTTATGATATGGGAAATGTAAAAATAATGGGGCGATTTAAATGAACAAAATGTTTTGGATATTCAAATGTAATCAACTTGGAGAAAATTATAACTGACAAGAAATGTTTTGAATACTGAGGGGAAACTAAGCTTAAATAAGAACATGCAAGAACCAGATTTAAGAGAGATGACTTGGGGCCTTTTGGGTACAACTATGGTGGAACTTACAGCAGATTTTTAAAAAAAGGATTATTTTTCTTCCACAGTTGTTTCTTTTAGGTATTGTGCAAGATTTAGATGCAAAAGAAATAAATTTGATGCTTTATTGTTTATCTGCTGCCCGATTGCTAATAGCCCAAAATTGGAAGAGCCCAATTCTGCCTACGATGGGAGAGTGGAGATTGAAAGTTTCGTATCTTGCTGAAATGGCAAAGATTTCGGCTTACTTGAAGAACCATTCGAATGAACAATTTTTATCAATATGGAGAAGATGGATTGTTTATATTCAAAAGAAACATAGAGTGGTAGAATATAATTTAGGTTTTTAGATTTTTTTAAGTTTGTTTATTTCTATCCTTTCTTGTAGATTAAGATATTATGTGGAGTTAGAGATACTAGTATTTGTCTACTTTTATATGAATATTATCCTGGGATTAGGTTTGGGAAGTTCTGGGGGGGGGTTTGATTGTTTATTGTGATTACTTATGATTGTTTTTTTTATGATGGAAAAATAAATAAAATTTTCAAAAAAAAAAAAAAAAAAAAGAGAGATGACTTGGCATACCAGATGGAGTATCATATGACCAAACATTTGTCTGAATATGTTTAAAAGAATAGTCAAATTTTGGATATGAAAGGGTTCTATAGTAAGAGAAATGTGATTTATAAGTAGTATAGTATTTTTTTCTATGATATGGGAAATGTAAAAATATTGGGATGATTTAAATGTATGAAATGTTTTGGATATTTAAATGTAATCAATTTTGAAAAAAATATAACTGACAAGAAATGTTTTGATTAAATAAGAGTTTTGAAAACAGGACATAGCGATTTACATAAGATGATTTTCTGCAAATGCAACTGTAAAATAAGCTGATTAGAAAAGACGTTACATACTGATGTTGTTAAGTACTAGAAAAATGTTTATATTCAACTTTGTATGTATTGTAAGTAATAAGAACCAGTGCTTTTTTTCTAAAAAAAAAAAAAAAAAGGTGCCGGAACTCACACACGTCATACAACCCGCCTTGCCTACCCTACAAGGTTCCATCCAAAAAAGGTGCCGGAACTCCGTTCTGGGCGTTCTATGACAAAAAAAGCTCTGCTAAGAACTATATTTGCTCAATGTTGGTAAAAGGAAAACACTATTGGAAAAAGAGAAGACGAAGGAAAGGTATTTCTAGTTAGTATGTTGATTATGAAAGCATAGAAATTAACTATTGATTGTTATTAAATATATGAACCCAGGCGACACATTGTTTACTAAGCACTAAAGATTATTATTCTAAAAAAAATCAATAAAAATATTAAAAAGAAAAGAGAGAAATAATCAGGGAATTCTAGCATTGATAAAAACAAGCATTCTGAAAAAAGGCAATGACGAGCCACTTCCATTCTGAGGTCATGAATGTACCAGGAGCTGAGCTCAGCTCAAAATAGCCCTTAATTTTCAAAGGTGCCCTTATGGTATTACAGGTAGTTCTCGACTTATAACCACAGCTCAACCAAAATTTCTGTTGCTAAGCGAAACAGTTGTTAAGAGAACTTTGCCCCATTTAATGACCTTTCTTGTTAAGTGAATCATTGCAGTTGTTAATAACACGGTTGTTAAGTGAATCTGGTTTCCCCATTGATTTTGCTTGTCAGAAGTCGCAAAAGGGGACCACATGACCCTGGGAATTGCAACTGTCATAAATATGAGCCAGTTGCCAAGCTTCTGGATTTTGATCACATGACATGGGTATGCTGTAACAGTGATAAGTGTGAAAAATGGTCATAAGTCACTTTTTTCAGTGCTGTTGTAACTTCAAGCAGTCACTAAATGAACTGTTGTAAGTTAAGGACTACCTGTATTCTTGTGTCTCCCTACTGAAGTTGCTCTGCCATCTTATTTATTATTTTACATTTTTAATCCCACCCTGTTGTTAATTTTTTTCTTTTTTTATGCCCATAGTCTTTTTAGTAGACAAACAGCTACTTAAACTGAAGAAAGTAAGAAAGGGAAGGCATGATTTCTCTAACCAACATACGTGTTTCTGCCCTGCCTGGAACTAGTTTCCATAAGATCAGATTTTTCTCGATTGATTGAATGGAAAGCAGCCAACCAGAATCTTTGCACCCAATCTGAAACCATTCAGGTGCCTCATCATCAAGGTACAATACAGCAGGTCTGCTTTCAGCTCACAGACACAACTGGGGGCATTCACAATCAGAAAGACCTGCTGTTTGCAATAGTGGCAAATACCTGTAGTTCTGGTGTTGGATGAGGATGAAGGTCCGTTCTCAGAGCTTGTGCGTTGGTTTCCGAATGTTTCATTACCAGGCTAGGTAATATCTTCAGCAACATTCAGATGTCTAGTTCAATGCTCTTCTGTTTATAAGGGCTTCAGGTGTGGTTGTGTCACGTGAGGGTCTTGTGATGGTTCAGGTGTGTTATCAGAGAGAGGCTTGTAATGGGTCTTGTGATGAGTAGCTTCCTTCAGGTCAGGGTCTTTGGAGGGTGTGAATTATCAGTGGGTCAGGTGTGAGTCATCAGTAAGAGGCTGGTGATGGGTCTTGTGAGACCTGCTGTTTCTTACAGATACAATGCTTACAAATTGGATCAGCATTAGCCTTTGGAACGGAACCGAACTGAAACCGTTTCCCATAAGTTTTTGGGAAGATCCAGATGTTCCATAAACTTTTTTTTTTTTTGTAGGAGAGATTTTTCATGTGGATCTCGAAACAGAACAGAGCAGTAACGAGTTCAATTTGAGGAAACTCGCTACAAAAGAGAACAGCATCCCTGTGCGGACCTTGCTGTTATATAAAAAGCAACACTCAGCTAGACATTCTCTCTCACTCCATCCACTCCATATTCAAACTTTCCCGCATTCTTCACTGCTTAGTTTGCCAACAGACTGTAACTCTCTGGGCTGAGAGGCTATTCCCCATAGGGTGTTCCAATCCTCGCGAGATTCCCTGGGTCCTCTGCGTTTTGCGTTTCGGCCTGCGAGATTTCAACTGCAAGATCGCAAGCTGGGCTTGCAAACGGAGGCGCATGCGCAACGTCAATCTGTCCGCCATTGGTTGGAAAAAACATGGCGGTGCCCAGTTCGGAGGCGGGTGGTCGGCAGTTGCGATCGGGAAAAAACAACCGGATCCTGTTGGTGCGACATTTGCCCGCCGTCTTGACGGCCTCGGAGAAGGAAGAATTGCTGAGGCACTTTGGGGCTTCGTCAGTGCGGATCCTTTCGGACTACGGCAGGCTGGTAGGGAAGAGGCATCTTGGTGCATGCAGGGTTGTTTATAGCTGGGAGGCATTGTCAAGTTTTCAATAAACAGAGAATGTAAATCACAGAATGGCAACTCCTGGACTGGATGTATATTTGGGCTGTTCTTTCTCCTCTACCCGAAGGAAATACATTTATTTTAACTTATTCCACCCAGACCCGCACCTGTAAGATGGGCTGCAACATAAATTTGATAAATAAATGCCTCCTATAAGTGCCAGAGATACAACTGGCTTGAAGTAATCGAGAGACAAAAGCAACACATTTGATTAAGAGAGCAAAAGAACGAGATTGAGATTCTAAAGCAGTGTTTCTCAACCTTGACAATTTTAAGGCATGTGGACTTCAACTCCCAGAATTCCACAGCCAGCAATGCTGGCTGTGGAATTCTGGGAGTTGAAGTCCACATGCCTTAAAATTGTCAAGGTTGAGAAACACTGTTCTAAAGGATGACAAATACAGATATATTCAGAGAAGGAATGATGAATTCAGTCACAATTATAGAGATTATTTCAGAAAAGAATAAACGACCTGCCTTTTGGTTGTGACATGTTGTGCATAGAATATGTTTTCCCTTTGTATAAAAGTGAACCTATACCTGGTTTATTTTTCAGAAACATACAGCTTTTGCAACTTTTCCCAATGAAAATGCAGCTACTCAGGTGTGTATTGGGTTTTTAAACTATTTTTATCCCATTGATTTGCTTTTCATACTTGTATATCATTATGTGTGTTCATATAGCAGGATCAGGTAACTTTGTGTGTTTCATGTATTTTTTTACATTTTGACTTCCATAATTCATAAGAAATCTGGGCAAAGGATTATGAAAGAATCAATCTCTCCCTTCCCATTTTTGTCAGTTTGAAACCATTTTTTGTGTTACTATTGTTTTAATATTTCATATTTTTATTGATTGTAAGCCATCTAGAGTTGTTTTCTGGTGAGATGGGCAGTCTATAAGTTAAATAAAAAGCAAATAAATAAAGTTGTTAGTGATATTTGTGGGATACAGGTTGTCATTCCTGTAATGTAAAAACAAAATAGTATACAAATAAGTCTAATTTAATTTATTTGAAACAATATCCACTGCGACACTTCAGATCAATCACATATAGGATTACTGTATAAAGTAGCAATATTTTATATAATTAACTGCTGCTAAAAGCAGTAAAGATACTTGATATAGTCCTGGGAACTTCCAGTTAGTGTTTTGTATATTTAACAACTGCCAGATGCATAGACTTTAATCCCAGTCAGTAATGGCCAAGAAGGTTGGGAAACATTGTTAGCCTGTAGATGAGAAAGTAGGATAGGGTAACGTTGTCACTTTTGCTTTGACTCTATTTTTTGTGCTGGTTTTCCCACTGCTATTTGTTCATTTAGCTTGTTGTATTCTATTTAAGGCTTTATCAAAATTACATCAGCTGAATCTTCTAGGCCACACTCTTGTAGTTGAATATGCAAAGGACCAAGACAGTGGTCTTGCAATTAGCCATCCTCCTGAAAAAGACAAAAGGTATGTGGACATTTTAAATTCAGTAGATTTATAACAGCTTGAAAACTAAACACTGCAGGTAGCTAATAACATTTATCCACACTCGCTTTATCTGATTAATATGAAACGATCCATACTGTTTATCTAAATCATATTTGCATTACTGCTAATGATAATATAACTAGTAATGCAGTTAAAATNTGATGATAACTGTAAATGTTCAAAGACCACTTATATTTAAAGGAATATTTTGCATTATTCATACATTTAAATATTTGAGCATAACAAATTTAAATAGTGATTTGGATATTTGACTAATGTCTGTGAGTCAACATCAACTAATAATTTCATAGAAATAACTTATTGCTGTATATGTATTTTTTCAGCTTTGTCCTTTGATGCAGGAAAAAAAATTCAGGAATAACATGAATGAGCAATTTAGAAATTTTGCTTGTTGAATGAATATTAAAGTAAATTCAGCCTACCTCATAGCGTTTTTATGTACTTGTTGTTTATTGTTATTATTTAGTCTTGAAGAACCTGTCAAAGAAGAGAAGGAACAAAAAGACCTAAGCTATCTGAGAATTGAAAGTGGAATTGCTCCTAGCCATGGGTCAGTGCCTGGTTCATATGTTAAAATTACCTAATTGTATCCTCAAACTACTTGCATGCATGTAAACAAGTTCAAAATCAGATAAGTACACTTTTTATTAACTTTGCAGATCAACCCCTTGCCCTTACACCCTTAGAAGTGCAATATTTCCCAGAATCACTCTTACCATAACATTTACATATGATGAGGGGTTCCCCCCCCTTTCTTTGGATATAACCTGGAAAGAAACAGAACATGCTGTTTTTGAAAAGATCACTGCACCCCCACCTTTTGATTCCATTAGTTGATTTGGTTGATTCTAATGCCCCCAAATTTATTTATGCAAAGATGTGTTAGAGCAGGGGTCCCCAACCCCCGGTCCGTGGACAGGTACCCGGCTGCAGCATGCCAGCAACCAGTCTGCACAAACAAGCAAAGCTCCATTCGTGGGATGCAGGCAGCACACAAAACTACGCACACTCCGGTCCGCGGAAAAACATTTCTCCACAGAACCGGTCCCTGGTGCCCAAAAGGTTGGGGACCTCTGTGTTAGAGTATGACGATTCTTGATTTTTTTTCAATATCTTTTTCAGTATTGCCATTTTACATGGGTTGAGGTTTAACTTGTCAGTGTATCAATGAAGCAGATACATAAATAAATCCAAGATTATATGGGGCCAGACTGATCTTTGAGAATTTCTCAAGCGTCTATACAAATGTATAACCTTGAACGCTTAATGTGCTTAATCAAGCTAAGGCACCAAACTAGAAAGCAAGAGACCATGAGTTCAAGTCCTGTATTAGCCATGAAACCAATTGGGTGACCTTAGGCCAGTCATTCTCTCTCAGCCTAACTCACCTCACAGGGTTGTTGTGGAGAAAATAGAAGGAGGAAAGTGTGTTGGATATGTTTCCCATCTTGAGTTATTTGTAAAAATAATAAGGCGGGATATAAATAAATACCTCATTGTTTTCTCCTACAGGTTAACGTTCCCTATAAATTCGTGCCTCAAATATTTGTATCCCCCACCGTCTAGTACAATCTTAGCCAACATAGCAAATGCTTTGGCAAGTGTTCCTAAATTCTATGTACAGGTAAATATGTATAGCTTCTTTTATTTGAATATAATATTCAACAGTATTGATTGTGCTTAATCCTAAGGCAAAAATATTACTTCAGGGTATTAACTGCTTAAATGTTAGTTATTAATGAATTATTACTTTAAGGGACAAATTCAATTGGTGGAAAAGCCTCAGGTTAATGTGTACGTTCAGTATTTGATCGAATTGACACACCTATTTTCTTTGGGAACAAGGTAGAGATCGCTGCATTCCTTCTATGTCTTTGCTGTCGTTGATCCTCCAAAATGAAGGCTTCACATTTGGCTCCGCACAGATATTAGAATTCCTTTTCAGACCTAAAGGAATCTTTCGTAGGATGTTTTTGATCTACAGTCTTTTATCTCTGTTTCAATTTTTAGTTGATGCTTACTAATTTATTGATCAGAAATTTCTTTTTTTTTCAGTATAGATTTGTATTTTCCACATTCACTCAAAAGAAAGATGAATCTGAATTTAAATGATCCCTTTCAAAAACAAAGAGTAGTCACCCTCTCCCCCACCAATAAATATAGAGGGGAAAAAAGTGCTATATTACCCAGCTTCTCTGTCTTGTCAACCTAAGGTTACCAAGGCTAACTGAATCCAATCCTTCCAGTTCCTTACTTCCTAAAAATGTCAGCATGATTATGAGGCCAGAAGAAGAAATGACTGGACCCTGAAAGAAATACCCCTGTTAGGCATTACAGAAAAGTTTAGAATTCAGTAGGAATCAACCCCCTTCATACATCATCTGCAAAAGCATTAAAAGTCATATTGCTTTTTGGTATAGTTGCATTTTAACCGGAAAGTAATGGTTTAAAAATTATAATAAACTTTCAGGCATTACCCTAAGTAGGCTTTGAACAATAATATTTTGTATTTCAAGATCTTTGTTATAAAATCTGACTTTTAGACAGCTGTTATTATAGTTCTTTAATATTCCTATTTTGATGATTTTAAAATTGCAATTTTATCATTATTTTTAGAAGCTTGGAAGCACCCTAGGCGCATTTTCTTATGTGCTCAAATCTTTATTTTGCTTCACTGTGCACCATTATTTTTGGGAATGATAACAACTGGAACTTAACTTCCTTCTTCCTACATTATTGCATTATTGTATTGTATTAATAGATCACTGTGCTTTAAAATATGTCTGTATAAACCTGCCTTTGAAAGATGCTTAAATGAGGTAATTAAATTTCACATGAAAAATCTTCCCCTACCTTTTTCCCCAATTCCAGAACTTTGTCATGAAATTCAAATTTCTGCTTAGCTGTGGGGAGTGTGAAACAGCTGTACAAATCTGTAATGTGTATTACAGTGTGGAATGTTCGAAGTACTATGGCATCTAAAGATCATTGGCATAATTATATGAAACCCTTGGAAGAACTGCTGTTTGAATATTATGCTACTATTCCGTTTCAGGTTTTGCACCTTATGAACAAAATGAATCTTCCACCTCCTTTTGGACCAATTACTGCTCGGCCACCCATGGTAAGGAACTTTACTGTTTACAATACCAGGAAGAAAAGCAATTGTGCATATACGGTATAATTTTAATTTACATTTTTCTCCATGAGGTCAGAAACCAGAGTACTGCTAGCTTTCATTTAAGTGCCTGTATGAGCATAGTGGAGAGTTTTAACTTTTTTGTTAAAATGGAGAGTATTGTGAAAACCTATTTCATTAGGTCGTGGTAAAAGATTTGCCTCCAACCCTAAAATGGAAAAGGATTATGTTTCAGCCTAGCTCAAATTTGCAGTATCTTGTTGAGTTTTCTGCCACTTTTTTAGTCTTTGTTTCTGTTGCTCTTCCTCATGGTGGAGCAATATATGAACCACTTGGCCCACTGTGGAACATCTCTCGAACAACTGGAGCAATTTTGATAGCCTTTAAATATTAGGTTATGTATTGTCAATCTGTATAATCCAAAATAAATGAAAAATATGAAATTGCAGTTTGTACTTCCCGTTCTAACTTCTCATTGCAGTCAAATACAGCAGTTTTTTTTTTTTAAAGTTGCATACACAGAAAAGCGGTTTGCTTATCCCTCTTTGGTCTTCACTCTGATTTAACTGTTGACTTTCAGTTTGGGGATGTGTTGCAAATGTGATGCAGAAACTTTGGCCTTTGGTTTTATGATTGCACGTGATAGTTTGTGATAAGGAATATAACTCAATAGATCATAGAATAATATGATATAAGTGTGTATGCTTAAATGTGTATGTTTTTATGTGTATCCCTCTGTTAATGCAGCCTAGCACTGTGTTGGCTTTTTTGGCAGCTGCAGCACACTGCTGGCTTATATTTAAATGATTGTCCACTAGGACTCCGAGATCCCTCTCAATAGTAGTAACTGTGAGAGGGATCTCGGAGTCCTAGTGGACAATCATTTAAATATGAGCCAGCAGTGTGCTGCAGCTGCCAAAAAAGCCAACACAATGCTGGGCTGCATTAACAGAGGGATAGAATCAAGATCACGCGAAGTAATAATACCACTTTACAATGCCTTGGTAAGGCCACACTTGGAATACTGCATCCAGTTTTGGTCACCACGATATAAAAAAGATGTTGAGACTCTAGAAAGAGTACAGAGAAGAGCAACAAAGATGATTAGGGGACTGGAGGTTAAAACATATAAGGAAAGGTTGATGGAATTAGGTATGTCTAGTTTAACGAAGAGAAGGACGAGGGGGGACATGATAGCAGTGTTTCAATATCTCAGGGGCTGCCACAAAGAAGAGGGAGTCAAGCTATTTTCCAAAGCGCCTGAAGGCAGGACAAGGAGCAATGGGTGGAAGCTAATCAAGGAAAGAAGCAACCTAGAATTAAGGAGAAACTTCCTGACAGTTAAAACAATTAACCAGTGGAACAACCTGCCTCCAGAAGCGGTGAATGCTCCAACACTGGAAGTTTTTAAGAAGAGACTGGACAGCCATTTGTCTGAAATGGTATAGGGTTTCCTGCCTGTGCAGCGGGTTGGACTAGATGACCTCCAAGGTTCCTTCCAACTTTATTATTATTATTATTATTATTATTATTATTATTATTATTATTATTATTATTATTATTATTATTATTATTATTATTAT